TGGGAGGATTTCAGTGTTGTGTTGTGTTTTGAGATTTGATTTTAAGCTAATAGCATAGCATTAGGAGAAAGTACCACTATAGTAGTCAATTTTGATTTCTTGTAAGGGGTCTTAGGGAAACCCACACAATTCTTTTGAGGATTGTGGGGCTAAAAGATGGAGCCTAGAACATTATTTACGAGTGAACGAAGTCTACCCTTGGGGTTGTTATCTCCTAAGTACTTTCTGATGTCCACAAGCATGATGTGGGAAGGCTGAATTGCAGGACCAGTTCCATAGGTATTTGAAAGATTTACTTTAAAAGTTTGTGTCCCTGCACTTTGTTTAAAATGAAGCTTTTAAATACAATTCTGATTTTTTATTTTATTTTTGAGACAGGGTTCAGGGTTTCTCTGTGTAACAGTCCTGGCTGTCCAAGAATTTGCTTTGTAGACCAGGCTGGTCTCAAACTCACTGAGAGGTCTGCCTCTGCCTCCGGAGTGCTGGGATTAGAGGCGTGCACCACTACCACCCAGCCCAATTCTGCGTTTTTAATACTAGTTTTATTTTTGGTAATAAGTGACTTTGAAGCCCTAGTAGCTAGAATCATTTAGTCTTCTCTTTCCAGTCAGAATATTCAAACCCAAGACAAGTCTGGGTTTGTAGTTTTTATAGTTATTATTCCAGCCTTAATAAGCCAGCTAAATATGGCTTGAACTATCTAGGATAATTTATCACATTCTAAAATCTTTATCAGACTGCATTATCGTCATCATCATCAACATCAAAGATGGCTTCAGTGAAACTGGAGTCAAAAGAAGTACTGTGATTTTTTAAAAGCTGATGCTATCAAATTTTGATAGGTGCTTTTTTCTCTCACATTGAAAAATGTTTTTGTTTTTTGATTGTTTTAACTGATTGGTAGAAATTTCACGTTAATGAAATCATATGTTTTTATACATTTATATATTGTATAATACTTAGGTCAGATTAAACTTACCTGTCTCTTCAAACATATTACTTATTTCATGGTCACAACACCTAGAATCCTTTCTTCTAATTCTGAAATACACAATATACAGTGATTATCTTGCCTCTCCCTCCCAAATGCTGGGATTATTGGCTTATAGCATACAGTGCTGATGGTTGAACCAACCTTTTATAATCTAGGCAGTATTCTACTGACTGCTATATCCCCAACGCTTAGTCTTGCTTAGTGACAGGTAATCATTACTAAAATTATTGGAAGTTGGTTGTTTAGTTATGTATTGCTGGAGATCAAACCCAAGGCCTTGTGTGTGTTAACAGCCAAGCTGTTGCACACCCCCTAGCCCAGGTGTTTTGTTCTTCTCAAGAATCATTGCATATGCTTTTATGAAACTTCAGCCTAGAATGTAAGTTTTGACAGTTTTGGGTGTTTTTTATTAAAAATTACCATGGAGGGGAGATGGCTCAGAGGTACCTACACAAAGAAACCTGAGCCTTTGGACTGGAGAGATGGCTCTTCAGAGGACCAGAGTTCAATTCCCAGCAACCACATAGTGGCTCACAACCATCTGTAATGAAATCTGGTGACCTTCTGGCCTGCAGGCATACATGGAGGCAGAATACCATATACAGAATAATAAATCTTTTTTTTTTTTTTTTTTTTTTTTTGGTTTTATGAGACAGGGTTTCTCTGTAATTTTTTGGAGGCTGTCGGTCCAGCCCGGCCTCGAACTCACAGAGACCCGCCTGCCTCTGCCTTCCGAGTGCTGGGATTAAAGGCGTGCGCCACCAACGCCCCACTAAATAAATCTTTTTAAGAAAAATAAAAAAGCCAGGCGTTGGTTCACGTCTTTAATCCCAGGACCCAGGAGGCAGAAGCAGGCATATCTCTGTGTGTTCAAGGCTAGCCTGGTCTACAGATTAAGTTCCAGGACAACCTCCAAAGCAATACAGAGAAACCCTGCCTTGAAAAACAAAACAAAACAAAATTGCCATTGGACACAGACACATACAATCCAGATTTAAATATTCAGACAGTTGTGTTATGTGCTTCATTTAAAATATAATGCTTATTACTCTACTTATGAAAATATTTGAAAGGAAAGAGTGACTTTTAATAAGTAGCACTTATTGGATCAGAAGTAGTAACTATACATCTTCATATTCACGCCACAGAATTAAGATTAGTTAGTTTTCCTTCACTTTTTCTTTTGAGACCAGGTCTTGACTTGTTGCCCGGGCTGGTTTCAAACTTGCAATCCTCCTGTTTCAATCCCCTAAGTGCTGAGATTATTGGCATGTGCCACTGTTACCAGCCTGGTTTTCCTATAGATCTATAATTTACATCCGATAAGCTGCAATTTGGTTTTGTTTTCTGCAGGTATGTTTGCCATTCGTGCGGATCATGATTTTGTAGTTCAGGAAGACTTCATGAAAGCAGTCAGAAAAGTAGCTGACTCTAAGAAGCTGGAGTCCAAACTGGACTACAAACCTGTGTGATTTACTATCAGGGTTTTGATGGCTGCATGACAGACATTGGCTTAATGTAAAAATAAAGTTAAGGAGAATAATGTATGTATTGGCAGTGATCTCATTAAAAGTGAATAAACATGTATGAGCAACATAATAGTATGTAATTTAGTAATTGTTTTAAAATTGATACAAAAGAAAGTTGTTAATGTTGCATTTACTGCAGCAATATTTACAAAAGACATGTTGAAGCTTTTCATATTTGCTTTGTGAGCATTTTGTACAACATTCAAATGGTTTGAGATAGTACAGGAGAGCATTTACTATGACTTATTTTATATTTTGTGTTCCTCATCCTGGAAAAATGGAATAAAATGTTTTAGTTGTCCTATATATATCCTTGTCTTTTCTAAGAGAACATTTATTCTAGCCTTTCTGGTTCAGTAAGTAAATGATTTGAGATCCTGGATGAAATTGAAAATTAAGATAGGGCTTTGAATTGTATTAGTGCAGTACTCACAAGTTTACAAAATTGTCTTCTTGTACGCCTCTTAGAGGTGCACTTGTGTCTTCCAAGAAGTACTTACTCTTCACCTGCTGCAGTCAGGCTATTTGGTTAATTTTAACTTGTTGATGATTAGAAGCACTGCTTATATAATTAATTTTAACTCGATGATTAGAAGTACTACTTATATAATTAATTTGGTTTATGTGAAAAAAACAGTTTCCTTTTGAGGCCATTGTGTTCTAGATCCAGAACAGATCTGTATTACATAGATACATAATTTTACATATACATGATTTCCAGAGATGTATTATTTTCTAGGCTCACCAATAAATTTTATAAATTTTATAACTTTAGGGAATGTTAATGTCAGAAATAGTGAACAGATATTATGTTACCTGTATGCAATTCTTTTTGATTTCATGTGACAATCAGAATTATATAAGGAAATCATCATTTCCTAAAGATTGAGATTATTTATAGTTAGAGTATTTAAATAAAGGACATCAAACTTCAGTTTCATAAATACCAAAGGACCAACCATAACGTGGTTTATTTATTTATTTATTTTTATATATACAGCACTCCATGTATGCCTGCAAATCAGAAGAGGCTACCAGACCTCATTACAGATGGCTGTGAGCTACCATGTGGTCGCTGGGAATTGAACTCAGGACCTCTGGAAGAGCAGCCAATGCTCTTAACCTGAGTCATCTCTCCAGCCCCACTACCTAGTTCCTTTCTTTATTTATTTATTTTCTTGTTTTTGGTTTTTTGAGCCAGGGTTTCTCTGTGTAGCTTTGGAGCCTACCCTGACCGGGCTGGCTTGGAGCTCACAGAGATCCACTGGGATTAAAAGTGTGCACCACCAACGCCCCGCTCCTTCTCACATTCTCCAGCCTCTGCCTCCTGAGTGCTGAGATTAAAGACATTCACCACCATACCTACCATCCGATTATTTTTTATGAAAAAATTCTAGCAGGATATTCCATGACTTTTTTATAATCTTTTATGCTAGATATCAGTTTATGTAGTACTAGAGATCATGGAGCATTCAGATTGGCCACCTATTTAATTATTGAACAATTCCACGCCTGTTTGTTGACCATGTATTACACGAGAAGATGAAGAAAATGAGAAGTCTAAGTTAAATACTCACATAGGCCTGACACTTTTTTTTAAAGGATGATTTTTAATAATTAAGAGCCCAAGGTCTCTATAAAGTACCCTTTAAAATACAATGGAAAATAGCGAGTGTTACACACCTTGTAGACAAGCAATGCTTCCCCTTTCAGTGAGACCAAAAAAAGGCATAGCCGGGTCTGATGATGTACACCTTTAATCCAGGAGGCAAGTGGGCCTCTTGTTAAATACCAGCTGCTTGGCTGATATAGTGAGATCTCGAGAAAGTATATTCTTAACCTTTGAAAACTATTAACTCCCAGGGTGGTGGTGGCTCACACCTTTTGTCCCAGCACTCTGGAAGCAGAGACAGGCGCATCTCAGTGAATTCAAGGCCTGACTGGTCTACAGAGCTAGTTCCAGGACAGCCAGAGCTGGTATGCAGAGAAACCCTGTCTCGAAAAAAAAACAAAGACTCCAGCAGAAGCTCTCATACACATATACTACTATCATGTTATATGTTGAGACCTAACTCAAAGAGAAGTGAGCTATCCCTTTGTGATGACTTTTTCTATGTATCATTTTCTGAGTAATCCAAGTTGACCACTTGGAGATGGGTATCTCGTTTTCCGCGTAGTCTAACATGAATTTACTGAGCTCTTCCGTTTTGGGTTATAACTGCCCCCACGGATCGCGCAGCATTCCCTCTGAGTCCCGGAGGGCTCTGCGAGGGGACTCCCCGCTGGGAAGGCCTAGGGGCCCTCACCCGGGACCTCCCTCCCTCCGGCCCCGCCCCGCGGGAGGCCCCGCCCCCCACGTCTGCGCGCTCGCGGACGGGCAGGGCGGAGGCGCGCTGACACCTGGCGGCGGCGGCGGGGGCGGGCCGTCGGCGAGCGTGGGCTGGGATTGGCTGTGGCGCGTGGGTGTGGGCGGGAGGAGACGGTTATGGGCTCGTGCCTGGGCCGGATCCCGGCTGTCTGAGGGGCGCCGAGACCTGCGGGAGGGAGACGGCCGCAGCATGGCTGCCGGCGGTGCGCCGCCCTGCCCTCCGCCTTCCCGTCGCAGCCGCCCGGACCCGGTGCTCCCCGAGTGCCCGCTGTGAGCCCGCCGCGCGTCAGCCCGCCCGCCCTCCTTCCCTCGCCGCCTCCGCCAGCCCGGGGGGCGGTCGGGCGCACCGCTGTCTCTCGCGCCGCGCCCACCCGCCGGGGCCCTGGGACCATGGAGGACGTGAAGCTGGAGTTTCCTTCGCTCCCACAGTGCAAAGACGACGCCGAGGTGAGTGCCCGCCCCGCCGCAGGCCGCCCCCGGGACTCCGGCCGAGCCGCGACTCCGGCCCGACCGTCGTGGGCGCTTGCCTTTCCCCTGGGGGGGCATCCGGGAGGTCCTGGTGGGCTACCCAGCCTCAAGAGTGCCCCTGGCCTCTCGCCTCGGTGTTGAGGGTCCGTTGAAGACTGACTCGTGTTGGATTGCCAAAGCCACACGCTGTGGAGTTGTTTTTAGTCTGAGGTTCACATGCGGGACCCAGCCCCACGTGTGGAATAGACCGGAGGCGTGAACTCTGGAATTGAACCCTCTTAATAGTTCCCCAAGTAAAAAAAAAAACAACCAACAGAAAACCACAAAAAAAAAAAAAAAACTAGGTCCAACAGAAAAAGTCAACACCAAGCTTCTCAGCTTCTTTGAATTTGAAAACTTTTAATCGTAAATCTTGCCCGTGGAGGAAAGTTACTGTTAAGAGCAAAAATACCTTGAGCTCCCCATTCCGTAATTCAGGGTTCTTCACCACACCTTGATTTTTCTTTTTTTCTTTCTTTTGGGGGCGGGGTCGAGACAGGTTTCTCTGTGGCTTTGGAGGCAGTCCTGGAACTAGCTCTTGTAGACCAGGCTGGCCTCGGACTGACAGAGATCTGCTTGCCTCTGCCTCCCGAGTGCAGGGATTAAAGGTGTGCACCGCCAACATCCGGCCACTTTTTGCTTTTTTTAAGACAGCATGTTTCTATGTAGCCCTGGCTGCCCTGGAGCTAGCTTTGTAGATCATGCTGGCCTTGAACTCAGAGATTTATCTGTCTCTGCTCCGGAGTACGGGGGTTATAGGCAGGGACCGCCACCACCCACCTACTGTTTCTTTAACTTTAACGGCACACAGTAGTTTTCATTTTAAGTAACCCATTTCTTTAATTGTTTACTTTATGATTGTAACAAGTTGCTTCAAGAAACGTTTGGCTACTAGTAACTTGAAAGTCTTTGGTATGTGCCTTTAATCCCACAACTCTGGAGCAGAGGCAGGCAGGTGGGTCTCCTGAGATCCAGGCCACTAGGCCAGCCAGTGCTGCAGTGTCTACAGCCTAGTGTCAGGGACTCCGTCACTAAAAGACAGGGTCTTTGGCCTAAATTATTAAAACTTTTTTATGTAAAAGATAACCATTATCGCTGGGCGTTGGTGGCGCACGCTTTTATCCCAGCACTCAGGAGGCAGAGGCAGGTGGATTTCTGTGAGTTCAAGACCAGCCTGGTCTACAGAGCGAGTTCCAGGACAGCCTCCAAAACAATACAGAGACCCTGTCTCGAAAAACAAAACAAACTACAACAACAACAACAAAAGATAACCATTATCTACTGGTAAATGAAGAAGCAAATGAACATGAAGTTTGGATATATTTTCTTTGTACTGACTTGGAAAATCACATGCTCTTCTATTCTGTTTGCCTCATTATTCGCAATTGTTAGTTTGTGCAATCAGTCTTTGTTTTAAGATACATTTTCTTTTTTTTTTTTGTTTTGTTTTGTTTTGGTTTGGTTTGGTTTTTCGAGACAGGGTTTCTCTGTGTAGTTTTGGAGGCTGTCCTGGCACTCGCTCTGTAGACCGGGCTGGCCTCGAACTCACAGAGATCCGCCTGCCTCTGCCTCCCGAGTGCTGGGATTAAAGGCGTGCACCACCAACGCCCGGCAAGATACATTTTCTAAAAAGTTCTTTTTTTTCACATTGAAATGCTGAATAGACTTGTACTGGTAAAGAGAGCAAAGTCTGACCAGGCGGTGGTGGTCCATGTCTTTAATCCCAGCACTTGGGAGGCAGAGGCAGGTGGATCTCTGAGTTTGAGGCCACTCTGGTCTACAGAGTGAGTTCCAGGACAGCCAGGGCCACACAGAGAAACTCTGTCTCAAAAAAACAAACCAGAATAAGTAAATAAATAAATGAAAAAGTTTGGAGCCCCTTAAGGGTAGTGTAAGCCCCTCAAAGGCTGAGCAACTCTGCTGCCATGCAGACCCAGATCCAGCACTTTGAGTTGTTCACCCCAACATCTCCATACAAGCTTCTGGAGCACATGGAGGAGCTGGGCCTGCGGGCTGTCCCCAGCGTAGAGCAGCCTGCCCTTTTTGGAGATGTAGGGAGGCAGTGGTACAGCTTGCAGGCTACAAGCACAAACAGAGCAGGATCGCCCTGACTCCAGGCAACAGCAGAGTATCCATGATGAGTTATGGCAACGGTCCAGTACTTATGGTGTGACAGAAACCAGAGACCTTGAACCAGAGCAGGAACTGTAGTCATATTTGCATGTAAAGCTGTTTGGGAAAAATGATGTGCCGTGTGACACACTGTAGTTTCTAGTGTCATGAGGAAGGAGAGGCGGGAAGATGGAGGGACAGAGGTGCATGTGCAGTGGAAAGAAGCTAAGTAGAGATTCTGTAGTGAAGACAGGTGTCAGAGAAGGCTGCGAGGTACCACTGAGGCCACACAAATGTCCGTGTCTGTGCTGCCTTAGAGGGGCGTCTGGATGTGCAGGGACTTACAGAAGGCTATGCAAGTAGGTGTCCGTGTCTGCTGCTAATGTCTGTAGGCCAGCAGATAGATGTCCATGTCTGTGCTGTTGATGTCTGTAGGCCATGATGCTGTTCAATATGCTGGGCTCTGCATGTTGATGTTCTTGGCCTGTTTTGCTGCTGAGGGTTATGATGGTGTCTTTGGCTCCTTTTTTGTTTTTTGGGTATTTTGTTTGTTTTTGTTTTTTGTTTTTTTAGTTTTTCAAGACAGGGTTTCTCTGTAGCCTTGGAGGCTGTCCTGCATTGTAGGCCTCGGACTCACAGAAATCCACCTGCCTCTGCCTCCTGAGTGCTGGGATTAAAGGTATGCGCCACCACCACCCAGCCTTGGTTCTTTTTTTTTTTTTTTTTTTTTAAAGAGGGCTGCCTTGATGTCTTTACTGCCACCAGAGACCATGCTGAGGTCTGTGACTCGTGCTGACTGACACCAGAGACCATGTGCATACCCACAATCCATGCCTTCTGACTGTAAAAGGCAAGGAAGCTACTTTTGCAGTAGCATCAATGACTGTAGAATGAGTTACAAAGAGGGACGTGGAAGGTTACTGTGACAACCACTATTCCCACCCTACTCCAACTCTCCCCAAAAGTAACAGCCTAACAGGAACCATTGAGAACTCTTGGTTTTTGAGACAGGGTTCCTCTGTGTGGCCCCTACTATCCTGGAACTCACTCTGTAGACCAGGCTAGCCTTGAACTCCGGGTCTGCCTGCCTCTGACTCCTGAGTGCTAGAATTAAAGGTGTATATCATCACCACCTGACTTTGAAGAGAACTCTTTTTTTTTTAATTTAACTTTATTTTATGTGTGTTGGTATAAAGGTGTCGGATCCCCTGGAACTGTAGATACAGACAGTTATGAGCTGCCATGTGGGTGCTGGGAATTGAACCAAGGTGCTTTGGAAGAGCAGCCAGTGCCCTTAACCGCTGAGCCATTTCTCCAGTTCCTAAAGAGAACTCTGAAACATTGTGGCAAGGATGCTAAAGTATAGCATTCTGCACCTGAGGGCTTCTGGCATGGGTGCAGTTGGGGAAAGACTCAGCTTTCTTTAAGGGGCTGGCCACTGGGAGTTTGAACATGCTCCAGTGAGTATATAGACAACACAAATCGCACTTGTGTTTTGTTTTCTTCCCCTTTTTTGGTGGTGGTAGTGGGGGTTCATAAGGTAGGAGGTAGACCTGGGAGGACTAGGAAGTGAGTGTGATCAGTGTGTATGATGTGAAATTTCCAAATAAAATCAATAAAAATAATATGTTGGGGGGAGTTTGGGGTTCTTTTGTTTTGTCTGTTTCTTTTATTATTATTATTATTATTATTTTTGAAGACAGGATCTTACTATGAAGTTCTGGCTGGCCTCTAACTCATGAGATCCACCTGCCTCTGTCTCCAAAGAGCTGGGATAAAAGGTGTGCATTACTATGCCCAGCTTAGAAGAAATCTTTACAGTTTATAAAATCTTATCTGTGCATAAATGGATACGCATGTCATATCACAGTCCTCTGTCACTCTCCCTATTCTGAGCAGGGTCACTTTGCCTGAGTCTGGGGCTCATGTTTTCTTGGCAAAATTGGAAGCCAAGAAACCCAAGTAGTCCTTCTGTGTCTGCCTACCTTAGAGCTGGAGTTCCGTGGATTTAGGGTTTCCTGGCCTGTGACATGAGCATTGGGATCAGAGCTCAGGTCCTGATGGCTGAGCCACCTTTCCAGAGATGCTTTTATATAGCATTGCCTTCTGTTTATTCTTGTACTTGAAAAATGGGTTCTGAGCTTGTAGCACTGATGGTTAAGGTACTGTGCTGCTAATTTTATATCTGCTTGACACAAGCTATGCTCATCTGAGAAAGCAGGCTGAGCAAACTGTGAGGAGCAAGCCAGTAAGCAGCACTCTTCCATGGGCTCTGCATCTGCTCCTGCCTCCAGGTTCCCATCTGGTTTGAGTTCCTGCCTTGACTTCCTTAGTCAGGCATGCATGTGGCAAGCACCTTTTATAGGCTTGCTATTTGCTGGCTATGAATCTAATTTTTTGGTCACATCTTTGTGTTTTATTGTTGTTTGCAGCTTGTGTTTATTGTTGTTTACATTTTATGTATGTGTGTGCTTGAATTGTGTCCTGGAATGCTCAGGAAGCATTTGGAGGTCAGAGAATAATTTTCAGGGTTCCAGTCTATTATCACCTGGTTTCCAAGGATCAGGGTTAGATTATCAGGCTTGAGCCATCTAATAGCCCTTGATATTTTTCATGATATTTATTTTTATTTATTTTGTTTTTTGTTTTCCTATTCAAGGAGTGGACTTATCCTATGAGACGGGAAATGCAGGTATGACAACTTTTAATTTATTCAAGACAACCCCTCCATTATTAAATAACACTTCACAAAGGAGACCTGCTGGCTCATGATCTATAGATTTGTCATATTTACCTAGATATGAATATTATAATATATGCATTAGAATATCACATGGTGGATATGTGCTATTTGTGTCAAAAATTTTTAGTATGTGAAATGAATACTTTATCTCTCTTGGATTAGATTCAAGGTCAGAACAATATATGGATGTGCTTAAGGAGCCACTGCCTTTTCTTATTTAAAAAATGAAATCCTTGGGGCTGGAGCAATGGCTCTACTTAAGAGCACTGGTTGGTCAATTGTCTTAGCTTTCCTTCTGAGTTTCTTTCTCTCAACCCTCATGATTTATCTGCCTCATAAAAAGGAGAGAGAAAAGAAAGTTCCCTTTTAAACTTTTAACTAAATGTGAGTACATATGAGAACTAACTTGATTGTACGGGGAATGTAAATATAAGTAAAATGTAATTCGTGTTTGTAAAATGCTATTGAGTCTATTCCTGTAATCTCTGCACTCAAGGTGCTGAAGCAGGAGGACTGCCTGGAGTTTAGGGCCAGCCTTATCTATGTTACTAATAGCTTAGTTTTGCTTTTGTTTACTGTGATGACAGTTGGGTCCTGTTCCATCCTGTGCTACTTGTTTTTGAGGGGAGAACAGCATCTGAGTGTTGAGTTCCTGCTGGCCTAGAACTTACTGTGTAACCCAGCCTGGCTCAAAGTCTCATGTGTGCTGGGATTATAGATATATTCCACTATACCTGGCTCTTTATTCTATTGCTTTGTTTTGATCAAATAAAATGTTAGTGAAAGTGTAATTCTAAATGAAGGATTTTCTTTATGCCTGTTTTATTTTTAGACTATAGCAGAAGGTAGGACCTAGAAAGATTTTATTAATGTGAACATCAATAATACAATGTGCTGATTTCTGTCCAACCTACTTATAAAAAGCATTGTAGGATCTCAGAATAAAATTTAGATTTTTAGAATAAAATTTAAATTTGTAACATCTCACTTGAATTTATAAAGGCACACCTGTGTTTCTCATACCAGTTTGCTAAATGTGGCTGGGAAATGTGTTAGTACTCAGACTTTACTAGACTGCCATTGGGGTTCTGACAGGATATGCCCTCAGCCGCAGCCACTAAGAGCACCACCTGTGCACATTCACTACCTTTCCTTTTAAAAGGTCCCTGCCCACCTCCCGTCTTTCTCTCTTTTTCTCTCTTTCCCCCTCTCTTCCACCACTCATGTCCCCAGGGACCAGCCTCTGCCCCCGCCTATGCCCCTTTTTCTGCCCCTTCTCTCTCCTCTTCCAATAAACCTCCTTTGTGAGTCCTGTTGTATGGTGTGACTTCTCTTTGAGGTGTTTTTTAAATTACAACAGAATGCTCCCTGACTGAAGTTTTAACCAGAATATTGCAAAGCCCCTTCACACACGCAGTTATATGGTATGTATTTGCTATAGGTTTAAACTTCACATATATATATTTTTTTCCCTAGGAAGTTTTGCCTGGATTGTTCTTAGGCCCATATTCTTCTGCTATGAAAAGCAAGGTATGGAACTTTAGCTTAGGTTCTCCAAGAGGCTTTAGTAAACCAACTTTTTGTTGGGTAAGTTTTTAATAGTAAGAGTTTTATACTGGGGACTATTTATATATACAACTGTTCATACTACTTGTACCTGCTTCAAGTTTTAATGTGAGCAGGGCCATGGTGGTGCATACCTTTAATCCCAGCAGTTGGGATGCAGGACAGGTGGGTCTCTGTGGGGGCCAGGTCAGCCTGGTCTACAGACCTAGTCCAGGACAGCCAAGACTACACAAAGAAACCCTGTCTCAAAAAAATTTTTTTGAAGTGTTTCACCACAAATTACATGTGAGTTTTTTTATAATTTACTTTTCTCATGATATCTTGTGTTTTTGCTTTATATAGCCCAAATTTTTTCTCCCAAAAATACCTTTCAACAGTAAAAAGTAATAATGAAGATAAAGAAACTTAGAGGGATAAATTCCTTTTTCAAGCTTTATTTACTACATTCAGACACCATTTAAATAAAAGATAACTTCAGGTGCTTTGGTATCCAGTTATCTATTTCTTTCTATAATGTTGAAAGGTACAAATGTTCTTTTGCTGTTACATTAGAATTTCATTCTGATATGGTTTGCCTTACTTAGTGTAATGTGCCTTCAAAGCTTTTAAAGGAGACTTGTTTGTTTTGCTTTGCCTTTTGTTGTTGTTTGAGACAGGTCTCATTATGTAACTCTTGATGGCCTGTGTAGACCAGGCTGACCCACTCGGATCCACTGCCTGGGTTGTAGTTAGGGTTTCTGTTGTTCTAATGTAGCACCATGACCAAAGGCAAGTTGGGGAGAACAGGGCTCACACTTCAGTTACTGTTCATCACTGAAAAATATAGGACAGGAACTCCAACAGGGCAGGGTCCCAGAGGCAGGACCTGATGCAGAGACCATGGAGGGTGCTGCTCACTGACTTGCTCAGCCCACCTGATAGAACCCAGGACTAGCAGCCCAGGGTTGGTACCCACCATTGGCTGGGTCCTCCCCCATTGATGAGTAAATGAGGAAATGCCTTACAGCTGGATCTCAAGGAGTCTCTTCCTCAGCTGATACATAAAAGCACCCAGAGCAGCCTGCTTTTGCCTCCCAGGTGCTGAGATTAAAGGCTTCTGCCTCCATGCCTAATTACCACAGATTTCTTTATATCCTCTTGTAGTTTTTCAAATTAGTAAAATAGACGCCAAAACCCCATCTTGATCATTAAGTGTAAATTAAGGCACGAATGTTGAATTAATATAGGAAGTTGCATACCTGTGAATATGCAACATTGGGTTATTATTAATCTTGTCAAAACTACTGAGTAATCTATTAAACATTCCTCCTGCTTACAGCCCAGGACATACTCAGAAAAAAAAGATAACTGAACTCTAATGCATACTTACAAGAAAATTTGCTGTCAAAATTAACATTTAAGACCAGGTCTGGAGAGACAGCTCAGTGATTGAGAATACTAGCTGGTCTTCTAGAGGTCCTGAGTTCAATTCCCAGCAACCACATGGTGACTCTCAACCATCTGTAATGAGATCTGGTGCCCTCTTCTGGCCTGCAGGCAGACATGCAGACAGAACAAACAAACAAACAAACAAATAAATCTTTAAAAACTCACAAAAAACACTTTGAAAACCATATTGTCTTGTCAGTGTGGACACCACTGATAAAATACCATGGCATGGATGACTTGCCTCCTACCATTGTGGTGCCTGCATCACACAGTGTGCTCCTGGGAGCCTGATTTGGCTTTATAATCACATGGCGACAGAGTGAGTTTCTTTTTGTCATGTAAGTGTCATGCTCTGACATGGGATTTCTGTCTCATGGCCTTGTTTAAACTAAGCCTTTAGAGTACACATTGTTTTCTTTCCTAGTATAATTATAACTGTTCAGGTAAGGGTGATGCTTTTCACCATTCTCACATAACAGAACTGAGCCACAGAGCCAAGGGTCATTGGCAGAGCTGGGATTTCTAGCTTAGGTTCTCATGATTCTAATGGTTTTAGCCACAATTGTTAATAGTGCTGGTTTCTTGACAAATTATCTTTAAGTCCTCATGAAGCTCTAAAATTAAACATAAATAGTGTTTATATTAAACTTTGGAGAACGTTTTGTGTATTAATCTTGAATCATTGAATCCTGACAATTACCATAAAATTAGCTGTAATCATCTGTACTTAAGGATTAGATATGAGTCTTGTCTGTTTTGTTTTCAAACATATATTATTGTAAGGTGATGCTTTTGTACCTTAAACTATTATTTCTCCCCATTTTTTATAGCTACCTATATTACAGAAACATGGGATAACTCATATAATTTGCATACGGCAAAATATTGAAGCAAACTTCATTAAACCAAACTTTCAACAATTGTTTAGGTAAGAGTTAATTGCTGTGATTTATAGAAAAATGTTAGGTCAAAACATGTAGTGTTTTATTATTGTTACTGATCTTTGAAGTGTCCGGATTGAGTGCAGAGCTCAAGAGGGCTAGGTAAGCGCCCTGCCTGTCCTGTCCTGTAATGCACTTGTTTACCTGTGTTACACAGTGTGACTTTCCTGTGTACCCACCTGCTTTGCAAACATCAGGTATATGATATAGTTTTAATATAATTCATTTAAATCATGTTCATAGTTCTAGATGCTTAAAAAATGTATGCTAAAACGTGTGTTTCTGTGCTCTTATCTCTATTCAGTCCTCTTCCCCAAAGGCATACAAGCTAATTTCTATAGACACAAGGTTGTTCTAATAGTTTTTTGAGTCTGCTCCTCACCCCACTCCCTGCCCTGCTTACACGGAGGTCAATGACTGAGTTGACACTTGGTCTTTTGTTCACAGCAGCGTATGCCGGGTTAGTTGGCCCACAGTCTTTGGGGAGTTCCCTGCCTATTCCTCCCAGCTTGCCATAGGAGTACTGGGCTTACAGATGTGAGCTTCCGAGCCTTGCTTTACTTTTCAAGATACTGTTTTTAATTATGTGTGCGTATGTTTCTTTGGAACTGAACTTACAGGTGATGGTCACCTGCCAGAGTTGGGTATAGGAACCAAACTGAAGTCATCTTCGAGGGCAGTCAGCCTGTTCTCTTAACCACTGAACCATCACTCTAGCCCCATACCTATCTTTTTAACACTTTTGTTTTTTGACACAGGGTTTCTCTGTGGCTTTGGAGCCTGTCCTGGAACTCGCTCTGTAGACTAGGCTGGCCTCGAACTCACAGAGATCCGCCTGCCTCTGCCTCCCAAGTGCTGGGATTAAAGACGTGTGCCACCAACACCCGGATTTTTAACATTTTTTTAAAAAAAATATTATTTACACTTCAGGGTAGGCCCCATGCCAACACAAAATAAACTCCCATGTCTTATATGTGCTTTTTGTTTTGCTTTGGCATATTTTGTCTATGTGTGTGTGCACATGTGCATGTGTCTGTTTTTAAAGAAAAAAAACTTATGTGTATGGGTGTTTTGCCTGCATGTATGTCTGTGTACCAGTTGTTGATTGGTGCCCATGGAGGCTTGAAGAGGACATCAAATCCCCTCAAATTACAGTTGTGAGCTGACACCAAGCAGTGGAGGCACATGCCTTTAATCACAGCAGAGACTTGTGAGTTCTGTGAGTTCGAGGCTAGCCTGGTCTACAGAGCTAGTTCCAGGACAGGCTCCAAAACTACAGAGAAACCCTGTCTCCAAAAACTAAAAAAAAAAAAGAAAAGAAAAAAGAAAAAACCCATATTTTTAAAAACCAATAATACTGATTTCATAATTTAGCTACAGTTTTATCCTTAACTCCCACATGGCAGCTCACAACTGTCTGTAATTCCAGTTCCAGGGGACCATACACCCATGGCAAAACACCAATGCACATAAAATACTAAAAAGAAAGAAAGAACTAATAATACATAGATATCATATACATGAGTTGCTTGCATAGAAGATCAATAGAAATATAATTGAGGATTATAATTTATCTTTTATAATAAAGAGATAGGATGTTATTTTGGTTTTAAAACAATCATTTTTGTGTGATTTGCCTGAATATACTTACCATAAATATTTTATTTTCAGATACTTAGTTTTGGATATTGCCGATAATCCAGTTGAAAACATAATACGCTTTTTCCCTATGGTAGGTATCAGTATTTTAATGTTATTTAAAATTTATGATTTACACCTATTTAGATTCTAAAACTACCTTTACTTCATTATGACTGAAAAAAAGTTTAGGTTTACTTTAAAAAGGAAGTGAAGGCCGGGCGTTGGTAGCGCATGCCTTTAATCCCAGCACTCGGGAGGCATTGGCAGGCGGATCTCTGTGAGTTCGAGGCCGGGCTGGTCTACAGAATGAGTTCCAGGACAGCCTCCAAAACAATACAGAGAAACCCTGTCTCGTAAAAACCAAAAAAAAAAAAAAAAAAAAAAAAAAAAAAGAAAGTGAAGTACTAAAACTTTAAAAGTATCACCAGTCGGGGGGTGGTGGCACACCTTTAATCCCAGCACTTGGGAGGCAGAGGCAGGCGGATCTCTGTGAGTTTGGGACCAGCTTGGTGTACAGGAGCTAGTTCCAGGACAGCCTCCAAAGTCACAGAGAAACCTTGTCTCGAAAAACCAAAAAAATCATGTAATGTACCTCCACTCCTGGTACCATATGTAAATTTTAGTCTTCCCCCCAGTCACCTGGGCCCTGCCATGCTGTCTGAGCCCCCAAATAACACTATATTAATTATGAAGCTGTTGGCCATTTTCTTAGTTTTTTATCGGCTAGCTCCGACTTGATTATTAATCCATAATTACTAATATATATTTTTATAAGGACTTACCTTTCCAAAGATGCGGCTTTATACGTTCTTTCTCCCCTATCACATGGCAACGACTCACTTCTCTACATTTCCCAGAATCCTCCTGGACTCCTAGTCCCACCTATCTTGCTTCCCTATTGGCCAACAGTTCTTTATTCAAACCAATCAGACACATATTTACAGAAAGGCGTCTCCCAACATCAACTGTCGCTGTAAAATAAACCACACACTTACTGAGGTTATAGGTAACTTTTTGTGGCGGATACTTACAAGAGAAACTGGCAACCCAGGTGAGTCAGCAGCTTTCCAAGATCTATCGGAAGCCCAAAAGAGAGTGAGCATCTCTCCTGCACAGCCTTTTATTACCACATGCATATGTGCCTCTAGCCATGCCCAAAGTGGGTGTGGTCAGTGGTACATGTATCTAAAATCTCGCCCTACAATTCCCCTTTTAGTCTAAAGAAGATATTTAAACTTAAAACAAAATTAAATTGTGTCAATATACAAAATATCTCAAACATGTATAGCATATATACATAGAAGATGATAAGGATATTTATGCATAGAAAGAAGACTTTACACAGTGTGATGAATTGTGATAAACAAATTATAAATTACCAGAAGATAGTCTACCTATATCCCACCCTAAGCACATCTACTCCATCTAAACCTAAGCTTATCTGAAAGAGATGCCCAAGTCTGAATGCCTCCTTCCAATCCCAACCCTAAACAATTGAAAACTAACTCTAAACAGGTGTAAATTATCATGTAATGTCAACAGTAGGGAAAGGGGGCATAGTATTCTCAGAACTACTTCCCGCTGAAATGGGACAACAACAACCTCATGGGATCCTGTAGGAAGAAAATGTTAGTCCAGTGAAAGTCTCCAGTGGACAAGCTACAACATCTGTACCCGGTCTCTGTTTGGCGGGAGATGCTTGATTGAAGTTCTTATCTTGATTGAAGCCCTTGTCTGAGGCTCTGGCCAGAGTGTAGAAGGTGCACCATATCAGTTCATTGGTCCAGAGTTGTGTCGAGTGGATGTAGTTCTGAACCGGTTTCAGGATGGTACTTGTCAGGTGGAGTTGATGATGTGGGGCCCCATTTTCTTTCCGAAGTGTTTGAAGATTGCTGTTAGGAAATTCCTTGTTTTCTGGAAAACTCAAACATTAATGTTAACAGAGAAATTTTCAGCTTTTATATGTATGCATACCGGGAAACGCAACAATAAGGAAGACAGCAAACATGAGGGAAATTAGACTTTCAGAGAAGAACTGAGTTTAAACAGATGCCAGTCCCTAGATTTTGTATCACCAAGAGTTTTTTATTTATGTGTGTGTGTTGCCTGAATATATGTATGTGTACCATATGTGTGCAAAAGCCCTCAGAAGTCAGAAAGCATTGGACCCCCCCTAGAACTGGAGCTGTGGGTGCTGTGAGCCAGTATGGGTGCTGGGAATTGAGCCCTGGTCTTCTGAGTGGGCAGTGGGCAGCAAGTGCTCTCAACCAGATAGCCATGTCTGTAGCCCCTCACCGAGGTTTTGTTTTTTTAATTATATTACATTTTACGTATGTGCTTAAGCATGAACACCATTGTGTGTGCTGTGGTGTGCATAGGAAGATCGGAGGACAGCTTTTGGTAATCTCTTCTCTCTACCATGTGTCCTAAGCTAGAACTCAGGTCATCAGGCTTGGTGGTAGGTGCCTTTACCTGCTGAGCCATCTTGCCAGCCCAAGAGTTTTGATTTTTAAGGATTAGGTGTTGCTCTGTAACTCAGGCTGACCTTTTTTGTTTCACTTTATTTTATGTTTACCTTATTCTACTTGTTTTAATGTAACATTGTAACATATTGTCTCTTGCCCTCAGACTAAAGAGTTTATTGATGGAAGCTTACAAAATGGAGGTAAATACTTATTTATTTTATTTTCGCCTACATATATGTATGTGCTACATGCATGCCTGGTGTCTGCAGAGGCCAGAAGAGGTCACTGGAGTACAGTCAGTTGTAAGCTGCCATGTGGTTGCTGGGACTCAAACCTGGTCTTCTGCAAGAGCCACAATGCTCTTAATACAGAGCCATCTCTCCAAGCTAGAGTGTTTGTTTTATTTTTAGAAGATTATTTTCTTTCAGTTGATAGTTTTTCTAACTAACTGTAGGATAGGGAAATTTTGTTTTGGTTTTTGGTTTTTTGAGACAGGGTTTCTCTGTGTAGTTTTGGAGGCTGTCTTGGAACTTGCTCGGTAGATCAGACTGGCCTCGAACTCACAGAGATCCTCCTGCCTCTGCCTCCCGAGTGCTGGGATTAAAGGCATGCACCACCACCACCCAGTGGAAATTCTATTTTTTATATGATAGATAGTTATCAGTGGTTCCCAGCTGCTTACTTCATCTTGTTATGTTTTTTAAATTTTTTTTCAATGAACTACTTTCAATTTCTCTCAATCTGTTGTGTTCTCTACATAATTAAAATAAAGACTTGAAAATTAATTCTAAATGGCATGTACACGATATAAAAAATCTAAGGGAGACTCACTGCAACCTGATAATGTGGTTTTAGTATCTTTTATGTCTGAACTTTGGTGTTTTCAGATAAGTAACTGTTTTTTAAACTTTTTCAGGAAAAGTTCTTGTCCATGGGAATGCAGGCATCTCCAGAAGGTATGAAGGTAGACAATATTTGTTTAGTCTCTTGTGTTTAATTATGAGCTATATTTTCTAATTGTTTCTGTGTCTTCAGTGCTGCCTTCGTTATTGCATACATCATGGAGACATTCGGGATGAAGTACAGGTAAGTGAGCAACTCAAATCTAGTAGCACTTCACCATCACTTAAATGGACTTATAGAAATAGTTGGGAATTTAAGGCTTAATACTCCTTTTAATCAATAATCATAATTGATTAGGCAAAACTGGAAAACTACTTGCCAGTAGGGAATTAGTTAAAACTCTGGATACAAATTTTGGTGTTTACTTCATTTCAATCATTCCAATTGATGTATATACTAGGTGTGGTAGAATATGTCTGTAAGCAAAATACTCAGAAGACAATTGTAAATTTAAGCCAAAGCCTGGGCTGCACATTCAAGGCTACAAATTGACACTGTGTGTAAGGAAAGGAACTTAAGTTACACTCTTTTGTTAAGAACTGAATGAAAAATTAATTAGAAATTGTCTGTAACACCTGTTTATTAATCAACATGGTCTTTCATACCATCTTTTGCAATCGTAATACATACATTTTTAAAAAGAGTAAGACTTAGGACCTTTATAACAAAACTCAAGCTTACTTAGTCTTATGAAAGATAGAAATCCTGTACGTATTAACAACTCTATTTATTTACCTCTTGGGGCTAGAGAAATGGCTAAGGACCTGGGCTCAGTGCTCACACTACGTGATGGCTTACAACTGTCCATTAATAGTGTCTGGCCTCCTGCAGGCGCGCACACACACACACTCACACACACTCCCACACTCCCACGCACACACTCACACACCCACACACTCTCTCACACACTCACACACACTCACTCACACTCACACACGCGCGCTCACACGCACACACACTCACACACACACACACTCACTCACACACACTCACACACACACTCACACACACTCCACCAGACTCTAATATAGTTCCAACTCAGGGTCACGCACTGAATGGGTTATGACAAGACTTTTTTTGTGTAGATTAAATACATCTCTCACCCTCAGAATAGTCCTCCAAAACCAGCATTTTAACATCTGTTTTGCCAGAGAAAAAGTTGAGCAAGTTCCCTGTGATAGGTGCAGCCTGGAACTGTGAATTTAATTGGCCTAGCTTCCATCTACTACAGCATGCCACCTCTTTATACTGTCAAACTGTGTGACTATGACTTCCTACTTGGGTAAAACTTTTCTTTTTAAGATTTATTTATTATGTATACAGTGATGTATCCCTGCATGCCAGAAGAGAGCACCAGATCTTATTACAGATGGTTGTGAGCCACCATGTGGTTGCTGGGAACTGAACTCAGGTTCTCTGGAAGAGCAGCCAGTGTTCTTAACCTCTGAGCCATCTCTCCAGCCCCCTATTTGGGTAAAACGTTTAGGGTGCTTTTTAATGTTGTGGGTTTTTTCCTACTGTATTAGTGATTGAAACCAGGACCTTGCATGACTAAGGTCCTACAGAGTTCTATCCCCAGCCTTAGGGGAAATTTCAAATAAAAATTTAATGAGAAAAAATAAGTAGTTCCCTTATTCATTTTTCTTTCTCTGTTTTCAGAGATGCATTTGCTTATGTCCAAGAAAGGAGATTTTGTATTAATCCTAATGCTGGATTCGTTCACCAACTCCAGGTAATGAACTGTATATTCACTGTCTTTAAGGATTAACATGGTTTGTTTATGCATCTTAGGTGTAGAATTTACTTAGTAAATACTTGATATTACTGTAATCTGACTAAACTGATGACTATTCCAGTTTGCTTCTTTAATTAAATGGTTTTTAGTTTTTAGAGATAGGTTCTCTCTAATATGTATTCCTGACTGTCCTCAAACTCACACATCTGCCTTCTGAGTACTGGAATTAAAAGCAAATACCACTTCACCCAGCCCTTAAAAGTATGTTTTTTTAGATTTATGTATTTATTATATATATAAACAGTGTTCTGCTTGCATGCCAGAACTCACTTTGTAGACCAGGCTGGCTTCGAACTCGCAGAGATCCGCCTGCCTATATATATATATATATATTTAATACTACATGTGTGTATGGTATAAAATAATCATATAGAGAAATTAAACATTTAAATAATTTGTTAGCAAGATATCTAATATCAACATATTTTTTGAAATACACAGTCATTGGTCACAGAATGTTTACATGCATAATGGGCCACATATATGATGGTGGTCCCATAAGGCTGCAGTAAAGTTGAATGTATCATATTAAATAAAACCCCTGGAGTCACTATACCATTTCAGTACAATGTGTTACTCTTGGTGTTTTTCTGTTTGTTTGTTGTTTGGTTTGTTATCTATGTTGCAAGTATGTGCCTGGTGCCCTAGAATAAATACCTTGGTACTGGGTTGCAGGTAGCTGTGAGCCACAGCATTGGTGCTAAGAACAGGTCCTCTGAAAGGACAGGCAGTGCTCCTAATTTCTGAGCATCTCTCAGCCCCACAAGTCATTACTTTGGGGATTGTGGTGATGCTGGCTGGTAGAAACCTTCCTGCCATAGCCGACACTCAGGTGGAGGAGTGCTTTCTTGGGAGGTCATTCTGGCTAATGTCTTCATTGCAGACTGTAGGGAAAATTGAGGGCAGCTGCCAGAAGCAAGTAGGCCAGTTTAAAGGATAGAGAAATGAAGAGAGAAAGTTGGGAGCTGGTGAGATGCTTCGTGAGTAAAGGCGCTTGTCACCTGACAATACAAGCATAAGGACATGGTTCTGATCCCTGGGAGCCCTGTAAATAAAAGAGAACCAGCTCCACACGTCAGCATTCTTCCCTCCACGTGGGTGCAGTGGCAAGCATGCCCCTATGTGCACACACGTACAGACAAGAATGATAAACGAAAACAGACTGCTTTAAACCAAAGTGGTAGCAGAGTGAAAAGAAATCAGTACAGGGTTTATTTGAAAGCACTGCTAGCTGGCAGAACGTGATACTTGATGGATGTAAGTTCTGTGGGGGTGGGGATAAAGCTGAATCTGCCTTTTGATTGAACAACTCCAAGATAGTCCTCATTGTTACAGAGGAAGGAGGAAGGAAGATCAAGGCCAGTCTTGACTAAACGGCACAGTGGAAGCCACCTTGGATTCGTTGAGATTGTGCCTCCAAAACAAACTAACTAACTAACAACCGTTTCCAAAGTACTCTTGCAGGGATGAGTAAGTAAAGGCGCAAAGGAGGTGGCTAGCGAGAGACGCAGGTGTCCTGGTTTCAGAGACGGCAGGTAAAGACTGCAGAAGGAAAGAGTGGTTCCTGTTTCAAAGGGACGGGAAGATGAGCATAACTGCAGTTTGTTCAGGAAAACCGCGAAAAGAGGATGTGGCTTTGACTCTTAGAACTACTTAATAAGATTACATGTGTAAGTTTTAGGTCCCTCTGTCCTTTGGACTATTTTAACCTAGAATTAGACCATTATAGCTAATGCTCCAGTGAGAGAAGATGCATTCTCCCTGGCAGTGAGCTATTGGCAATACTTAATTTCTGATTATCAGTAACTGACGAGTTACCAGACAGGAACTGTGAATCTTCAGTCCTTTCGCCAGAATATGGCACCAGCCCTTTGGCTGTAAACTAAGAATACAAATGTTCACATTAGTCATTGTTTTAGGTATTTAAGAATATAAATGTGGCCGGGCGGTGGTGGCGCACGCCTTTAATCCCAGCACTCGGGAGGCAGAGGCAGGCGGATCTCTGTGAGTTCGAGGCCAGGCTGGACCGACAGCCTCCGAAACAATACAGAGAAACCTTGTCTGTAAAACCAAAAAAAGAACATAAATGTGTATGTGAACTAATTAAACTTTTTTTTTAATTTCAGGAATATGAAGCCATCTACTTAGCAAAATTAACAATACAGATGATGTCACCACTCCAGATAGAAAGGTCCTTATCTGTTCATTCTAGTACCACAGGTAAGGGTGTTTTCTTGTGGAAAATTGACAAGAAAGGAAATGGTGGGGGAGTAGAAAAGAAGCATCTGTTACACATTACATGTGCCACTAAGCAATCCAAGTTGTTTAGAAACTTTGAATAAACTAGTTTAAACAGGGCTTGAGAGATGGCTCAGCAGCTCTTCTAGAGGTTCTGAGTTCAATTCCCAGCAACTACTTGGTGGCTCACAGAGCACAATCGACTTCCAGTTTGACTGTTCTTCAGGTTCCCCTCCATAAGACCCGTTTCTGAATGTAACTACAGGCATGTAGAGATAATTCTGACTGTTTGTGTGGGATGTTTTTGTAGTGTTGACTCTCTAGTGTAGGGAATAAATCTGATCTCTTAATCTGCTATATACTTTCTTTGCTCCTAACCCATAGGTCTGGATAATAAAGCTATTGCTTTAGCAGAAAAATATTTTTCAGCTGCTCTTCATTATAACAGGATCTGTGTGAACAGAAAAACTATCTAAAAAATCATACAAACACACTCACTACTAGATGTGCTGTCCTATGACATGTTTATGTTGCCTAAAAAGCATAAAGTTGGTAGAAACTAGATCTCTTGAACTAGAACTCTTGAAGTTCTACTTTCCATGTTATTTAAAACTAATGTTTTGTGCAATACCTAGGATATTAAGTTACCAAAGTAACTTTACTTCATGATGCAACATAAAGAATTTACTGTAAGCCAGGCGTTGGTGGCCCATTCCTTTAATATCAGCACTAGGGAGGCAGAGGCAGGCAGATCTCTGTGGGTTAGAGGCCAGTCTGGTCTACAGATCGAGTTCCAGGACAGCCTCCAAAGCCACAGAGAAACCCTGTCTCGAAAAACAAAAACAAAAACTACTATAAAGTGTTTTGCTGTGAATTCAAGCATGAAGTTTTCATGACACTTGTATAATATCAGTTAGTGGAAGACAGCTTTTTGCTGCCTGTAGTGTTTCAACGTGAATTTATGTAAGCTTTCACTGTTTGAATCAATGACCTTAGGTAGTTTGAAGAGAGCACATGAAGAGGAGGAGGATTTTGGAAGCATGCAAGTGGCAACTGCACAGAACGGCTGAGCTCCGAGGACTGTTAGCGGTGTGAGTCTCTGTTTGGAAAGGAGAGAGTCCTAGTGATATAGTGTACAGTGGAAACACAGTTTCTTTTCAATTATATGTTGCTTCCAGACATGCTTCTCTGCAACTTGTTGAGCAACACTTTTAAGATTGTTGTACTTCTACAGTAGATGGCGCTGATGGCTAATGGGTTTACTTAAAAAAACAACAACAACAACAACAAAACTACTTTATGGTTTTATCGTAAACCAAGAATTTTGGACTTGCAAAGAGGTATTATTGCAATAATGCACTTTTCATACTTGAAGTTTATTTGTATGATATAAAGTTATACTTTAAGCAAAATGCAAGTTAGGGGGATTTGTTTATAAATTTTGGATAATTTATAACAAATTTCCTAATGTTTCTTAAAAATTCATTTTGTGTCATATATATTACACTTAAAGTAATTTTACAGTTCAGCTTTCTGATGGAGCCTCTTACCAGAAACATTAACAAAATGTAGAACTCTTCCACATTTTTAATACAATTCAGTAACTTAACCATTTTATTTTTTTTAACTTTTTAGTCCCTTAGTTTTAAATCATGACTTTAGCCAACTTTCAGACTTTACTAATTTAATCCAATTATTACTTCCTTTCCAGCTGCCTTCCCTATTCAAAACAAGAAAAAAAGTTGTAATGATCAAAGAGGTCTCACTTTCTTTGAACCAGATATTCAAAAATAAGGATAGTGTTATATTTCCACCTGTCTTCTCTTTTTTGTGTTTGTTTTAGTCAAATATTGACTGGATCTTTTCAGAATTGCCTGGCCCTTTTTATCTTTGTCCAGAATGGTTCAAAGCAGAATCTTTAAGAAACCAAACCAATGTAGCACTGTTTCTTCAATATGAAACCCCCAAAAGAAAAGTGCCTTGTATCAACCAACAATTAAATCCTCATGACCTCTAAATTAGTACATAGAGCAGTGAAAAGTTATTAACATTTTCTGTAATTTTGTTTTTAAACCATAAATTAAACTGAATCTGTGAAGCTTGAAGAATGTAAATTATTTGGAATAATATGAGACATTGACTTCTTCATTTCATGTTGTCTTGCTTCTGTGAGGTTGTTCAGCTGATGGCTTTGCTTTGAAGATTCATTGGATAAAGCAATTTGTGGGTGGCTTCGGGGTATTATAAATTACTGTTTTAACTTCTTAAATTAGTTCAGATTTATCCCATAATTTGCATTAGCAAAGTCACTTATTGGCTCTTTGGTTTTCCATATTTTTATCTGTATGTATAAAAGTTGTTCTACAAAAAAAAGTACTTTGCTATTTTAAGTGTGATGTGCAGAAGAGAGGAGTGTTTTTAACTTTTTGTATTTGATGACTTTAGGGTAGCACAAACACAGCTCCTTTATAGTTCACATTTCTCAGTCCTCTCTGAGGTGCTTTCCTGTTGGGAATGGTATCTGTACATTTGCAGGGTACCATGAGGCACTGAGTGAGGTAGCCTGTTATACTCAGTTACTTGCTTTGAACGCCACCTTATGGCATAACAATACAGAGAAGGCTTGGTCCTGCACAATGGCAGCCCAAATAGAAACCAGAATTACTGTTAACTAGAGTTAATTCCTCGTTGGATTTCGCATCCCATCTCCTAAAACCAGCATTGTGACCCACCATTCTCTGTCACTGGTGTGCTGGGATAGTAAATATTACATTGGGTGTTCAGAAATTCCTGTACATACATCAGTATATACATCATCACTGGACAGGTCGACAAAGCTCTCTATTGGAGTCAACTCATAATCTACGACTCATTGAGCAGAAATTGTGCTTAAAGTAATCTCCATAAGAAATGGTTTTTCAAGATGAGACATTTGAAGTAATTTTTTTTTAAGTTTCATAAAAATACATACTCTTTAGGAGTCTGGCCAAAAAATATAAAGTAGGTTGATAGTTATTTGTAGCTGGTAATTTTCCATTTTTCTAACCAGTCGTTTTTTATGTTCTCACGTGAAGTGCCTATCCAGCATGATATACTGGAGACAGTCTCAAAAGCTAGGGACTGCCATCATGTTGAGCACAGTTGATGTGAACAGATAAGGTTTGTTCTTTCATAAGAAACCTGCAAGGTTTTTTTTTCCACTGTATTTACTAAGTAGCTGTCTTAGGTCCCATTCCCAGTGATGTTTTGTAGCAGTCAACTATGATAAGCTTAACCAATCATGTCTTACTCTCTAAAGAAATGACATTAAGTATATAATCCGGGTTCAGAATTAAAAGTTTTTATCAAAACATAGGGAACTCCATTACTTCACATTTTGAAAGTTTTGAGACTGAAAATTTTGGAGTGGGGGGGTATTCTCTTAGTTTAACTGGTTCATGTTAATTTCTTGTCTATTAAGTGTTGACTTGTACCAACTGTGATAGGAATGTTCAAGTGTGATAACTTTGCTACCAACTTTTCAACCACTTGTAGAGCAGAATATTCATTTGCAGGGTGTGGGGTTGTGCTTAATCTGAGTCTAGAAGTAATGTCAGAAAATGCTAAGCATGTCCTTTGTAAGAAAACATAAGGTTCCTAATTGTTTAATTACTATGGTAATTCAGATTAATTAGAAGTATTTAAGTGCAATCTTGAATTATGAAGTTGAGATGTATATATTAGGATCTCAACTTGATGTAAAGTAAATGAGCAGTTACCTGATGGATTTTTTTTAATAACTGATTTAATTTATAATCCCAAGCATAGCTTCACTTCAGTATTTACATTATATGTATCCATTCAACAACACTCCAGTAAGGAAATGATAGGAAATAGCTGAGACTTTCTCAAGAATTTTATTTATTTTTTTAATTAGGAAAATAAGTTTCTAGAGTCTTGAGTGCTGGATATTCTTTGTCTTTTCCATTCATGGCAGCTAAAAAAAAAAAAAAAAAAGAAAATCACTCAAAATATTCAGGTTTACATGTTAAGCTCTCACAGGGAGCCGCCATACCTCACAGTTCCAAGTGTTTTCTCAATCAGTAACATGATACTGACATGTAATTGCAATTTACTATGCAGCAAAAAATGATTCAAGAAAAATAACATACGGTGTCTGTTTACCTGTGTATAGACAATTGCTTACGTTACTCTGCTTTTAACATTTGTACTCAGACAAAATGCTTCTGTATGTATAGGAATGTCACAGATGCAAGATGCTGCTAACTGGGGCACGAAGTATTAAAATTATTTTGTGAAGACTGGTGGTTGTATTAAAACTGGTGTGCCGTTACCTCAACAAATGATTGAGACGCTCATTCATACTCCTTATGCCTCAAAATATTTCTTTGCCTTCTGGATAAAAGTAATCCAGCTTTACTCCCACAGAATAGGAAGGCTGAAGAAGCATTTAGTATACAACTGTTTCTTTAAAGAGGAATTTAAAAGAAGATCTGGTGGCTGATGCCTTTATTCCCAGCACTCTGGAGGCAGAGGCAGGTGGATTTCTGTGAGTTCGAGGCCAGCCTGGTCTACAGAGCGAGTTCCAGGATAGGCTTCAAAGCCACAGAGAAACTCTGTCTCGAAAACAACAACAACAACAAAAAACTCCATGACATCATTGAAATACTTATAGTAGATGGTTTTACGCCAGAGTAAGAAATAGAATAAAGTACTCAATTTTCCCTTTTGGGGAGGCTTTTTTAGCATGGTTAAAACTTAATGAAGCCCTATCAAGCTTACAGAATTCTGAAGACAAAACTGTTATTTCACTAGTGACAGGTCACTTAGTTCACTGGTCAGAGATAAAGTCTGTCACTACGCAGTAAAAACTTCTATTTTGGAAAGTCAACCTAATGATTAGAGGGTAATCTAAGCCAACTGCAATGACCCCCAAAATACATAGAACTAGACTGCTCTGAGCCATGTGGTGGGGATGCCTGTAACACCAGCTCTTGGAATGTGCATGGGAGTTCAGGATAGATCTTCTACTACATTGTGAGTTCCTGTTAGCCTGAGTTACAGATCCCTGTGTCTCAACAAACAAGAAAAACACAAGACAAGATTATAACATGAGAGACTAGTTATATAAACAAGTTTAATGTAATAACATGGAATGCAAAAGATTAGAACCATTGTTAACAAAGTAATTCTACTTTACAAAATCATTAAAATAAATAAAACAGGACAATGATCAGAGTAATTGTACCATTATGTACCATTATAATCACACCGAATAGAAAAGCTACTGTTTTAAGGATGTAACAAAGGCAGTACCACACGTCATTTTGTGACTCAGATGCCCATGATAAACCAAGGTAAAAGTACCTCCGCTGAGAGCTACTCATCACTGAGAAAAAGAACCCTGGGTCTCTAGGTCTGCCCTTGGCTAATTCTAACATCATTTGACAGATGGGACAGGTGGTCAGTCTGCACAGATCTCCACAAACACTTGGTAAATATTAGCTACATTGCCGTCACATTGTCTTCTTTAAGACTGTCCACTTTGTGTACAGTAATGTGAGAAATGGTGTACCCTTAAGTCTGTTTAGATGTGAGACAAAAATAATTTTATGTGATAAGAAACAGCCTTATTCAATATGTATACATATATTTAAAACCGAGCAGCACAGAGCACACATAACTCTTTACTACCCATACTTTTGACCCAAGAAATGAAGACAAATTTTAGAAAAATACAATGCAAGAAAAGATTCACGTTGAAAATATATTCCTTTGGTTAAAAGTCATCCCCTTTATGCTCGTTTGTGCTCTTAACTCAGAGTAGGTCCCAGCAGCCACAGGCTGCTCTCGTGTCACTCACGCTGGCATGCTACAGTGGCTTTCCAGTCTGGTAGGTATGCAGCCAGTGAGGCTGCAGCGACAAAAATGAACAGTGAAGCCCTGCAGCATTGTCTGTCTCGGTGGTGGCCTTTACTTTAGGAACCTCCGACACATGTAATTCTCTTCAGACACCGTATAGCCAAACTTTTGGTAGAAGCCAACGTTTTGTGGTAGACATTCAAGGGTGATCTTGTAACAGTTCAGCTTCTTGCTTAGCAAAGTGAGAGTTGACAATAACCTAGAATTTTGAGAAGAGAAGTATGGGAGACAGTATAACGAGAATGGGCCTTGATGACACAGATTAGTGTTATACACAAATAAAACCAGTATTTAGTCAGTAGTCCTTTATTCATCAAGTTGGTAAGCACTTCAGTTACTGAAGCATTTTTATTTTGTTTCAAACAGTCCCCAGCCTATTAATAACTGAGTTGGCCTACACCTCTTTATTATGGGAGGAGGGCACAAGTGTGTCCAGGAATGGAGGTCAGAAGACAGTTTTGTGTAGTTTTCCTTTAGATGGGTTCTGGGAATCAAGTCACCATCTCACTCATCTTACCAGCTCTACACCTTTTTTTAAATTATAAGAATTTATGGATGAGAGACTGGAGGAATGATTTTCCAGAGCACTGGGGTTCAATTCCCAGCACTCACAGCCACTAACTGTATCTCCACTTCAGGTGAACTGTGCCCTCTCTTGGCTTCCTGGCCTCCACAGGCACCAGACATGCAAGTGGTACGCAGACCTAACACCTACGTGCATAAAATTAAAAAAGAATTCCTCTCGGGGCTAGAGAGCTGGCTTAGCATTAACTTAAGAACACTGGCTGCTTTAGAGCCCGACCCCTGATTTGATCCCAGTACACACAAGGAGGCTCACAACCATCTGTAACTCCTGTCTCAGCACCTGACGCTGCCTTCTGAGGGCACCGGAAACACAACTGGTGCACAGATAAAAATAATTAATAAAAATAATTCATGCGTGAGCCTAGGTATAGTAAGTGACACACACTTGTATTCCCATTATTTGAGAGGCTGAAGCAAGGCCAACTGAACTACACAGCATGTTTGAGACAAGCATAGGTTCAGAGTAAGACTTAGTTTTAAAAATACCAAGGGCTGAGAAAGCAGTGGAGTGCTTGCCAAGCAAGTGTGTGAAGCTCTAGGTTCAATCCCCAGCACTGAGTTTGGGAAACCCAAACTCAGCCCCAAACTGTCTTTAACACTAAAGATTATGGAATCGTGAAAACATGGCCTGGATTATTTTTATGAAAGGCTTCTAGCTGGCTGTGGTGACACACCTGTACCAGAGTACCCAAGAGGTAGAAGTAGGGTCTGGTACTGAAGGTCCCGTCTTCCACTAGAGCAATCCACTATAGCAACATGAGACTTAAGTCAAAAGACAACCCCCAAAATATCCTTGTCCCACGGGCTGGGGATGTAGCTCAGTCAGGTTTGCCTAACACACAGAAAGCCCTGAATTCCCATCTTAGCACTGAAAGGTGAAGTACCTTTGTTCTAAGTCCAACCACACACTTGCCACGCTCATGGATAATAGCTGTATTCCTGAGACAGTCTCATATTGCTGTGGCTGACCTGGAACTGGCCTTGTAAACCAGGTTAGCTCGCAGAGATACGCTTGCCTCTGCCTCTTGTGAGCTGCAACTAAAGGCATGCCACCATGCCAAGCTTTTCTTTAAAGCTATTTAAATGAAAATATGGATCAGATAACAAGATGAGTCTGAATAATACGGGGATGTATCATTCAGAAACTATCTTACAAAGCTCAAGGAGTCAAAATCCTGAGATATGTGATCTAAGCTGGGCGGTGGTGGCGGCCAGGTAGATCACTGAGTTCAGACCAGCCTGGTCTACAGAGTGGGTTCCAGGACAGCCAGGGCTACACACAGATTAGTCCTGTTCCAAAAAACAAAAACAAAAGTGACTTAGCTGTTAGGAGACTAAAAACAAAACAAAAGGTGCCGAGTGGTTTCCCCTGTTGTGTGTACATCTAAACAGATCTTGTCGTGACCTGATGTGGTCTTCCTGACTCAGGTTCCTGCGCGCCAGTTTTATAGTAGACGCCACCATCACGTCCAGCGGCACATTTGAATAAACAATCTCTTGTCATGGGGCGGGAGGAACTTCCTATCCTAAAGATTTTAGGCATGACTAGTTAAATGGATTAGAATAGTAAAAACTGATATAGTTCATATAATTAAGTATTCCAAATACCTAGGATACTGATACAAACTTGATGTTTATTGAGCAGACTCATTAAAACTCAGATTATATTTAATGCAAGTTCTGCTTATAACTTGGCAATAAACCTATACAGATTTAAATCTGACAGAAATGTTGGGCACTCATTGTAACTTGCTCAAGTCTGAAATGCTAGTATTAAAAGCTAAAGAAGTTACTTTTCATAAGCCACGTCTATTCTCCATTACTCCAGAATCTGAGTTTGAGATCAACCTGGTCTACAAAGCAAGTTAGCCAGGGCTACAGAGAGACCCGTCTCAGAAAACAAAGTGGTGTGGGGGCTGCTAGTGACATAGCTCAGTGGTAGTACACAGCTCAATCACTTGTTAACCTCGGCAAATGGAATGGGTTTTCAGTTCTCAAACTCCGGGTGAACTAACAACACTTTAATTTTTCATTAAATTCCGTTTAAGAGATAGAGGGAGAATGAGCTCAGAGTAAACAAAGGTCAGAAATAATCAGGAAACCCTTATGCAATGAGCTTGGCAGAAGGCCACACTGGGCAGCCGTCCGTGTGCTTACTTACAGTTTGCCGAGCTGCTTCCCTCTGCAGTCGTCACTGACAACCACGTCTTCTACTCTCCCTCTCTGCAAACAAGCACAGTGGGCAGGATGAGCCTCTGGCCTGCTTTCCACTAAGCCAGCCAGTAACAATTACAATTACAGTCTTCGTCGTGGAGGAAACAAAGCCAACTGTGCCTCCATTTTTTAGCTATACCAGAACCCCGTCTCTGTTTAAAGCACCACTGTCAATCACCACAATATAATCTTGTAAACATAGTATATCCAACTTGTTACTTAATAACAATTTACCAGTTTCAAGTGCAGAAACCAAAACCCGTAACCTACAGAGTGCCATTTATTTATTTATGTATGTATGGTTGGGGGGACAGGGTTTCTAAGTGTAGCCTGGCTGTCCTGGAACTCACTCTGTAGACCAGGTTGGCCTTCAGCTCAGAGATCCACCTGCCTGCCTCTGACTCCCATGTGCTGCTGGGACTAAAGGTGTGCCTTACCACGCCCGGCCAGAGTACATTTCCAAATGCTCCTTTTTTCCTACATTCAGTGTGTGTATGTGTGTGTGGGGGGGTGTGAATGGCTTGGGTCTCTGTAAGGTCAGATTACAACTTATAGAAGTTTTCTCCTTCCACCATGCAGGTCCCAGAGATGGAACTTGGGTGGTTAGGCTAGGTGGTGAGCACCTTTACCCCCTGAGGCATCTCTATCTGATTTTCATTGGACTGTAACCTAGAAACTTGAGAAAAGTGCCTTCTGCTGAGGAATTCCAGCAATGGAAAATCATGGGGAAATTGCTTTTGCTAATGAAGCTTCCAAAGTGGTTTCCTTAGAGATCGTCTGTACACTTTCCTCATAGGCATTGGTGTGAGCACATACCTTAGCACATGAGTGGATGAATTTATGTTCTATTATCAGAGTTGCCGTAGCAACAATTTCTCCTAGGGTCACATCTTCCACAACCGTGACATAGTAATCCCCAGACTTCTTCATACGCTCAAAAGATCCTGTGGAAATGTCGAAAAAGTGTTAGGTAGCAGACATTCTATTTTATTAATTCAAGTAAAGCACCAGGTTTGTCTGACTTCATTTGAATATTAAAGCTATTTTGCTACGGGGCTTTAGTTTCCAGTTTTCTAAAAAAAATTTATTCATTTATTACATATACAGTGTTTTGCCTGCATGTATGTCTGCACACTAGAAGAGGACACCAGATCTCATTATAGATGGTCGTGAGCCACCTTGTGGTTGCTGGGAATTGAACTCAGGACCTCTGGAAGAGCAGCCAGTGCTCTTAACCTCTGAACCATCTCTCCAGCCCCCATTTTTTTTCTTTTTAAGACAAAGCAAGTAAAGTAGATTGAGCACAAGCTTTTAAGTTGTTTGCTTGCTTGTTTACTTGTTTATTGAGACAGGGTGTCACTATGTTGCTCAGGCTATCTTAAAACTCACTATGTAGACCAGACTGGTCTTGAACTCAAAGAGATCAGACTGCCTCTGCCTCCAGACTCTGGGATTAAAAGTGTGCATGCCACTCACCTGGGTTTAAACTTCTACAACTACTATGTTATTGAAAATATCAAGGAGTTGAAATACTAACAATCAGCACTGAGTGGTTCACACTTTTTAAAGTCATCTGTTGTTATAGCATGGAGATATAGCCCGGAGGGAGAGCTTGCCTCTGCCCAGAAACACACATACAATACACATACAATCTGTCAGCAAAGTAAGACTCAGGGATCTTTTAGATGAACAACACTGCATTACAGATAAATTGTACATGTTGCCATTTTTGTGACAAATTAATTAAAATGTCAATATCCACCAATTTAATTTATACTCATTTTAAAACTAACACTCAAAGAACAATACTGCAAGTTTTTACAAGAGCCTATTATATCTGCAATCCATAGTCTTGGTTTCAAAATATTTTGACAAAACAGTTTTCCGTTTGTTTTTCCAATGTTTCATGATTACATATTTGTTCTTTTAGAAACAGGATCTTTGTTTGCTTTGAAAGCATGTTACAAAGATGACACAGATACATCGCTACTTAAGCAGTTTTTCCAAAGTTACACAACAAATAAGATCAAAGCTACCTTCCCGACAATAAATGTTTAGCACTTTATATTGCTGGAAAAGCTACAATTTTCACCTAATTTGGATGTATGCAAACCCAGGAGTTTACAGTTTTCATCTAGTCTGGTATGTATGCAAACCCAGGAGTTTAAGAGCCAAGTTCTGGAGCTCGCAGATACTGTTTATTTTCAAAGTCTCACTCTATACAGGTGTGAAGTAGGAAAAAAAATCCAATGAAGGAGAATAAACAAGTGTAGAGAGCGACCCTCACTCAGCGGGGTTGGAGTTACCTACTGAAGGAAGTGCAGGTGAAAATGGGCAGGCTGTGGACACTGGGTAAAGAAAGGTGCTGCAGCTCTCCCTGCCAATGATTAACTGTGATCCTGGGAACGGCTAGTCCTCTCTGGGAACCTATTTCCTCGTGTCTCAGAGCAGGAGGGGATTGTTAGACTAAGACCTGCCAACCTCCCAATCCAATATAAAAGTACCAACACAACAAAAATTTAAACCTAATTAAGAACAAAAGGAAAATAGGAATATAAACTCTTAAGTTCTTTAATTTGGTAATGAAATTTCTGCACTTAGCCATACAAAAGGACACAGCTCCTTTTACTGTCCTCCAGTAATTCTCAAGTTATTGTGCAAACATCTGGATTTTATAACTTGCAGCTCTTTGAACGAATAGGTACTGAACAGTTCTAACTGGTTATTCAAACAAGGTATCCTGTGTACTTACTCATGAACTGCTCAGGGCCGACGGCTCCAGTCTCTGTCAGCTGACCCAGTACCTTAAAAAACCCTAGTTTTAAAACATTTCAAGTCAGGAGAAAAGCAAAAGAGAGATTAAAATAGAAAAAGAAGCAAAATGTTCACTGAATAGGTTAAAGGAAATTACTTTTTCAAAATCCCATAATCATGTTTCCATTATAATCTTTAATCAGAGCCGGGCGTTGGTGGCGCACGCCTTTAATCCCAGCACTCGGGAGGCAGAGGCAGGCGGATCTCTGTGAGTTCGAGGCCAGCCTGGTCTACAAGAGCTAGTTCCAGGACAGCCTCCAAAGCCACAGAGAAACCCTGTCTCGAAAAACCAAAAAAAAAAAAAATAATAATAATAATAATCTTTAAACAATGTTTTGAAGCTAAAGTGTAACTAATATAACACTGTTGAGACAACTTTATAAATTTCTAATTTTACTAACATTAATGCAGCTGGAGCATAGTGGTGCACGCCTTTAATCCCAGCACTCCGGAGGCAGACGCAGGCAGATCTCTTGTGAGTTTGAGGCCAGCCTGGTCTACAAAGCTACACAGAGAAACCCTGTCTCGAAAAATCAAAAAACAAACAAGAACCAATGCTAAAGGTACATTTAGAACTCTTGAGTCTTAATTTTTCTACATGTAGTAATTCTGACCAAAATTACTTCAAATACCTAAGAAGAAAATAGTCTAGTAAAATGCTGATTTTTCACTACCAAAGTTTCAGAAATTATTTTGGATAATTTAGATATTAAAGAATTACATTGGCCTAGATAAAAACCCGTTTAATTTCAAGGGATGTTATTTCTGCCTACCTGCTTCCTGGAGAAAAACCCTTCTATGTGCTTATACATTATAACTGTTTTGTTTTTGAGACGCCCTTTTGGAAGGAATACTATTGTACTGCATTTTAAATATATCACAGTAATATCTGGCCTCCATTATATACATACACCTTTGCAACTATTTTAAAACAAAATCAAGTGTTGTTCTAAGTTACCATCATGCTTAGGAAGAAAGAAAGCATCGATTTCAGGGGCTTTCACAAACCTTTATTCAAGTCGGCAGTACAGAGAGGCCTCAAAACCAGGCCTTCTCCAGGGTTCGTTGGAGAAATAGCTGGAGAAAATGTGGCTGTATTCTGACTCCAGTCCACTTCTGTGAGCAGACTTGGGTCAAACATAGGCGTTTCATCGGGTTTCATCTTTCCAGTAAAGTCTAAAACAAAATTTCAAATGTTAAGAGGGTCTATTGGTAAAGAAAAAGTATACTTAATGAGGAAGTTAATTTCATCATATAAATGGATTCTGTAGCATTATGTGAGCCATTTTTCTTAGCTACCTAGAATCTACAGCTGTAAACATGTAGGAAAAACAGTTTTACTATCAGATGGAAAATGGGTTGAAATTAAGGGTGAAAATAATGGGTGAAATCAAGAAGTTGAACACAAACAAAAACTCCATTTTCCAGAAGGTCATTGAAGACATTTTATCCTGTAGGCTGCTGCCACTAGGGCAGTGGCTCTCACATGTGGGTCGTGACCCCTGTGGGGTGTCAAATGACCCTTCATGGGGCCACATACTGGATATTCTGCATTCCAGAGGTTTTCATTATGATTCACAGCAGAAGCACCATTACAGATACAAAGCAGCAACACAGCAATGTTACAGCTGGGGGTCACCACAGCATGAGGAACTGTGTGGAAGTGAGAACCACTGCACGAGCGAACGCTGACATCTTGTGGACTCCATGTTCATACAATTACAATCCTGCATTCTACTGGTAGGCTCAGAAATCATTTGGTATCCCTGTCACTAAAGACTCACTTGAGCATATGAATGTGACTTGTTTTAGTATATGAACCTTGAACAAGTGAGGAATTGTTCAAATTACTTTATTAGTCTCTGGAGTCACAGTAGCCATGACATATCCATATCTGCATTTTGTTTTCATGACAAGTTTTCTAAAAGCCTGTTAGTTGTTTCTAAACAGCTTAAGAATAGCCAGTGGGTTTTGTTTGTTTGTTTTATGCTGTGCAGCAGATATAGTGGCACATGCTTGTAATCACAGAACTTCAGGCACTGAATGAAGAAATGTTTTAGGCCAGTCTGGGTACATTCTGGAATACTATTTCAAAATGCACATATGACCACTGTGATATGAAAACCTGTCTCAAAAAAAGTTTATGAAGTCATAATAAACTAATAGTTTCAGTTTTCCCGTAAATTTCTTTAACTAGATGGTCCTAGTCTGTGGATGATCATAAAAATATGTAATATTAATTTGGTGAGTACTTTTTATTTGTTAATTCTTTAGCAAAGGAATAAAAGATGTATCCTGATTTATCCCCAGGATAAAATAAACAGATCAGGAAGTAGACAGAAAACTTGGGCCAACAGGAATAACAAGGCGACAGACGGATTCACAGGTGCCAACGCGGAGGCTGCCCAGTTTAAGGCTTGCTTTAAGTGGGCTCTGCATTTGATTCTTACCACAAGTTACTTCACTGATTCTGCTAGGCAGAAGGGTGTCGTGTCTCTATTAGCCTAGTGTAGCTAGGAAGAACAGTGCTTGGAATCTCTATTTTGGAAATGAGAATTCAAAGCATATAAAAGTATTCTGGATAGAAATGAACTCACAGTCTAGTTACCAAAAAATGACTATCGTTTTAATAAGCCGTTTGTTCACCTGAGCTCTCTTCAAATAGTAAGACCCTGGTGGTACCCAGGGAAGGGGAAGACTTTGGGAAAGAGAAGGCAAGATGTGACTGACACCAGATCCCCAAAGGATTATCAAGAACTCAATAGGTTATCAATAATTGATTTCCAAAAGAAATGCCTTAAAGGCTCCCAGACAAAGCTACACAATCATTAAACTGCACAGCTGAAGCTCAGCCTCATCACGAAGTAAAACTTGCAGCTCCCAGGTAACTGAACACATGGAGATTCTTAGGGGCGGGCCTGCCCAGGGAAGGCATGCAAGCTGGGTCCCTTCCCACACGACCCCCACTCTGACCTCCTTTATCCCTTGCCAAGCTCGTTCACCAGCCAAGCTGAAAAGGCCATTTTAGATAACCCAACCTCCTGGCAAAGGTCAGCTCAAGGGTTGAGCAGAAACAGGCAACTTGTGATTGGCAGGGTAATCTCTAACCACACCACGCTGGTCAGCCACCCATGTCCAAAGTCAGTGGGTAAGAAAGCCTTTTATAAGGGAGCTGCATAAATGATGACAGAAGAAAGAACTAAACAACACACTCATCGCCTTCTAGGAAGTGGGATTCATCATGTAGCTTAGGTTGCCCTCCCACTCTGTTGTATGTGTGCATATGTGTAAGCATGTTTGCGTGTGTGTGTGTGTGTGTGTGTGTGTGTGTGTGTGTGTGTGTGTTGGGTACATGTGCACATGTATGCCTGTGAGTGTGGAGGTCCAAGATTGACATCAGGTGTACTCCTCCATCCCTGTTCACTTTATATACTAAACCAGTTCTCTCCCCAAACCCTGAACTCACTCTTTAGGTTGGTGTGAATAGCCAGCTTACTTCAAAGCATTTCTGTCTCCCGATGCTGCCATTACAAGCCCACCACTTTACATGGGTTCTGGTAATCAAAGAACTCTGGTCCCCAGTCTTGCACTGCAAACGATTTCCCTCTCAGTCACCTCCCCAGCCTAATTCCAACTCCTGATTTTTTCCACATTCCCCATGCTGAGACCATAGGAGTGTCCCACCATACCAGATTTCTTAAGCAACTTTACATTAGTTTCTAGCACCTGTAGGGAAAAAGGTCCAGCCAAAGAAACACACCCTGAGGAGAGCCAAAGAAACACACTTTGTTTGGCTCTGCAACTAGAACCAAAGAAATGTACCCTGACCCTGAAACCAGTGCCAAAGAAACACACTTTGCCCCTGGAATCAGAGCCAGTGAAAGAAATGCACCCTGGCCCTAAAACTAGAGCCAAAAGGCTAAAAAGGACCAGACAAACACACTTTGGCCCTAAAACCAGAGCCAAATCTGACCCTAATCCTGTGCAGAAAACTAACCAATCCTTGAGCAGATTAAAATCTGTCCAATCCCCACCCTGGAAGCTCTATATAAACCCTGTGTCTGTTCAGCTTGTGACTGTTTCTGCTACCCAGCTGTTCTCTGCCACTGAGGTAGAGGGTACTCACCCTCCTGGATTCTTCCCTCCCAATAAACCCCTTGGAAGAGCTTTGGGTGAAGACCTTTTGCGGCAGAGCAGAGTGAGCAGCAAACACTTTTGCCAGGGAAACCTTCCCCTGGCAGAGTGGAGTTGTTACACTCAGCTCTCCACTCTCCCCGGAGCAGAGCTCAACTGTAGCAACTTCACCCAAGAAACCTCCTGCCAAGCAAATCTGCTACACTGGGCAAACATTCACAGCTGGAAGACCCTGTCCTGCTGGAGCAGAACCCATATACTGAGGTAGGGCTGTAAGCTGCTAAGCTTACTACAACCTGTGGTATTCCTTGGCTCCCAAATTCCAGGATACCTTTCCATCTGAGCTTTGTAACACTCAGTATTCTGTGACTCCCGAGTGCCAGAATACCTGTCCCATCCGATCTGTCCGAAATGCCTACAGCACCCATTACTAAATCAATGAAGACAGCCTTTGGTCCAGTTAAACACAAAAGGGCTGATTAATAGTCAAACTCCTTTTAAAACAGGATTTATAAAACCTCAGAGGAAAAAACCTATCTTCCTAGTCATAAAGATATGATTTATGATGCTGACAGAGGTCATGTCTCATTACAATCTAATAAAATTCAGGTGAGGTGGCAAACACTTGTGATCAGTGCCAGGGAGGCTGGGGCATGAACACTTGGGAGATCAAGGCCAACAGGGCTCCCACAGTAACACCTGTCTCAAAAACAGCACACATAAAACTTACGGAAATGGAGTAAACATGAAAATCCTTTTTAAAGTTGGTTTTAAGATATCCCCAACCCACCCTACATCCAGAGGGGCCAATTTAAGACTAGCTCTGACTACATAAAACCTTCCTTCTTAGCCGGGCGGTGACAGCAAATGCCTTTATATCCCAGCACTCGGGAAGCAGAGGCAGGTGGATCTCTGAGTTTAAGGCCAGCCTGGTCTACAGAGAGAGTGCCAAGATAATAGGCTCCAAAGCTACACAGAGAAATCCTGTCTCAAAAAAAACAAAAACAAAAACAAAACAAACAAAAAAAACTTCGTTCTTAGCCGGGCGTTGGTGGCGCACGCCTTTAATCCCAGCACTCGGGAGGTAGAGGCAGGAGGATCTCTGTGAGTTCGAGACCAGCCTGGTCTACAAGAGATAGTTCCAGGACAGGCTCCAAAGCCACAGAGAAACCCTGTCTCGAAAAACCAAAAACAAAAACAAAAAAACTTCGTTCTTAAAGATCCACCACCAGCTAACTAAAGTGAACTCTAACTCAAAGCACCCCCCCCCCAACCTGTTGTGCTTAACTGAAAATTAGCATTCATTTACAAGGCCTGAGTACTGCCTTGGCCCTAATCCGGTAAATTTCTGGTCAATGAATAATGAATAACGTAAGGCCTCATCTAGCAATCATACCTCAGAAAGTCGACACATTGCCACGAGTGACAACACAAAAGTCATACACCAAACTTCATTTATAATTGTACTGAGGGGTTTTTTTTCTCCCAATTGATTATTTTTTAGAGACAATTTCAAGTTTGGCTTCCCAGTCTCTGAATGAGATTGGATACAAATGAGAGCAGCTGATTCCAGGAAAACAAAAGGGAGCACCAAGTAGTGAGCATTGAAAACCAAGATTTCTAAACATATACAGCCATATCAAAATTTCTGTGGTAGGTGACAGGTTGGCAGATAGCTCTCAAGTATCTTCTATGCGTGAAGTGTTTCCTGTAAGTGTATTTGATCTACACCATCTTTTTTTTTTTTAATCTCCAATCCATTTGGATAGTTGGAGCACGAAGTTCCCAAGTATCAGCCTGTGATGAGGGTCCTCTCCTTTCCCCATTGAGCTCTACAGACGACAATCTTTGCATCATGGTATCTGTTTCTACCATACGAGGCCTATCTTAAAATATCTCAATTTCCTGAGACCCATTCTCGGATTAAGGGTTAATTGTCCAAACAAAAAACGAATCCCCATTTATTTTTACACGAACAGAATTTTATGTTTGCCTCACGTACACATTAGTTCCTACACACAATAGAAATCACAGTGTTTTTAGGGGTTCAAGTCCCGGGTCCCCCACCCGGGCTTCAGACAGTCGGAGCGTGTCTTCAGCCGCTCTCACCGCTGGACAACGGCGGCAGACGTGGCGAGGACTGCCCCCCCCCGGTCCCATGCCACGGGCACTCGGTCCCCGGGCCCTGCCCGACCGCACCGCGGGTCACCACGCTTAGCCGCCGGGCTCCTCGGTCTGCAGCCTCGGGGCAGTCAGTCCCAAGCCCGCCCTTCCTCCCGTGCCAGCCCCGGGTCGCCTCACCGCACCGGAGCGATCCACGCTCCCCTCCAGGCGCGTCAGTCTCCCGGCCGCTCACGGAGCCGCATCCGGATCCGGCTGCAGAGCCAGCCCCACCCCCTGCTGCACCCCCGCGCGGCAGCCGGAACGGCCGGGCCCAACGTGGCGGGCCCAACGCCCCCGCCCTGCCCCGCCCTCACGCACCGGCTGCGCACGCGGAGGCCGAGCCACGCACACCGCTCCGGGGCTCGCGGGGCGGGGCTCCGGGGCTCGCGGGGCGGGGCTCCGGGGTCTCCTAGGCGACTCTGGCGCGTGGTGCCCGGACCCGGGCGAGGCTTGCGTCATCAGTTTACCTTCCAGGTGTGCCCCTTGCTGGTTGCGCCACTGTCACTCTCACTCCTTATCTAAAAATAAGTTCCTAGGAGTATAAGCAGCGCATTGCGATGACCACAGCGGTTCCTTTGACTTTTCGGAGCCCTAAGACTCCGGCCTCATTATTCCGCCCCGTCCTCTCCCCTCGCGTGCATTAATCAGGACTTAGGTGGCTCCCTGGGGTTCACAGCCCCTGATTCCCGAATGTCTGAGACATGACTCTTCTAGAAACTTGAGTTGGGGGCCACTCACCCAACCACACCTGGACTTTTTTTTTATTTCTTCCTCATATCTTTTACTTTCTTTCGTTCTTTCTTTCTCTTTCTTTCTTTCTCCCTTCCTTCCTTTCTTCTTTCCTTTCTTTTCTTTTTTTCTTTCTTTTTTTTTTTTTGAGATAGGGTCTCTCTACATATCCGTGGCGGTTCTGGAACTATGTAGACCACGCTGGCTTCGGTCGCCTCGGCCTTTCAAATACTGGCATTAAACATTTGTGCCACCATGCCTGACTGCCTCATATTTCTTAGGGTGAGCATGATGGGCTCTGCCCTGCAGCTGTTCGCAGCGCCAGAGCATTTCAGCTCTCTCTGGAGAAGTGACACTGGGTTCTCCAGACAGTGAAGGGCAGATGTGGAGGCCAGGCCACTGTGGTAGTCATCTTACAGTACGCAGCCGCCAAAGTGCTTAGCCTGTGATGTCAGTACTGGGAAAGCTGAGAAATCCTGATTATGAGAAGAAAGACGACACCTCTGTGGGCTCCCACCTCCGAAATGCTTTTCCTATGTACCATTTGACAGTCAGGAAGCAGAGATCTGGAGACCCTAAGTCATTTACAAAGTCACACAGCTGGTAACCCTTGTTAAAACGACAAAGCATTTATTCTCAAGGCATAGGTTCAAAGAGCATGACAGATTACCAACCACATTTTATTTTCTTTCCTTTTTGAGATTTACATTTAAGGGGTTGTTGTTTTTGTTTTTGGCCTGGGCTACCAGTGCCCTGTCCTTTTTTTTTTTTTTTTTTTTTTTTTTTTGGTTTTTTTGAGACAGGAGTTCTCTGTATTGTTTTGGAGGCAGTCCTGGAACTTGCTTTGTAGACCAAGCTGGCCTCGAACTCTCAGAGATCCACCTGCCTCTGCCTCCTGAGTGCTGGGATTAAAGGCGTGTGCCACCACTGCCAGGCTCAGAAACTTTTCTTAGTCACATATTTATGATTCTTCTACTTTTAAAGTGTTCTTACATTATTTGATTTCTGTTGTCATAGAAACCAGCTTCATCACATAAACATTTCAGTAATTTCCATCACATTTGGCTAAGATGACTAAGAAGTTCAGGACCTAGATGGTGATGACTGAGACAGAAAATGAGATCAGCCCAGGCTGAGCCCCAAGCATTGGCTCAGCTCTCTGGGGACTGACTACATTGTGGGGTTAACTCCCACATGCACAGGGAGTGTCCTGGAACAGGATGGTCACTTAGTGAGGAAGAACTCTCGTCACAGACAAGTTTGTCACCTTTAGTAACAACTAAACCATAGTGTCTGAAGGAAAACACTTGTTGAGGAGTTGTGTTTAAGACAGTTGCGGCAGGCAAAGTACATGTGGCTTAGTGCAAAAATGTCTGTTAGCATGTGTCAGGGCCTGGGCTCTGTCCCCAGCGTGGGGGGAGGGGCAGAATGTGGAAGTGATCCAGACAGGTTGAACTTGGTGATACTAGTAACACTAAAATCCTGTTTTGTTTTCATTACATAGTTTACCCTAATCTGTTTTGTATGAGACAAAAATCTCTGCTTGGAGAATGTTGTCACCTCAAGAATGAACAGTAATTGCAGTACCCTCTGGCCGTGGGCAGTTTAGGGTTTAGGATAAATAGCTTCATGGCAGGACACACTTTGATGTCAAACAGAAAACACATGGTTTCATGGTGACTCAAAGTCATTCAAACCCCCTTGAGAAGAGAAGCAGTGGCTTTAGTCTCTGGACCTTGATTTTTTTTTCCCCATTTGAAAAATGGAGATATAGTCTGTGTTAGTCAGGGTTTTCTATGGTAACAGAATTTATGGAATGAATATATGTATTCACTACACACACACACACACACACACACACACACACACACACACACACACACTTATTGGAATGACTTGCAGACCAGCAATCCAACAGTGGCTGTCTGTGACCAGAAAGTCCAAGAACCTAGCAGATTTTCAGTCTCACTGGCTGGGTGTCTCAGCTGGTCTTCTGTGTATGCTGGAATCCCTAAGAAGTAGGCTCCAGTGCCAGTGAAGGAATGGATGGACTAGGAGCAATCAGGCGGAGAACAAAAGACTCCTTCTACGTCCTAATACAGACCTGCCGCAGAAGGTGTGGTCCAGATTAAAAGTATGTCTTCCCACCCCAAGATCTGAATTAAAGGCATGTGTCTTCTAGCCTTAAGATCTGGATCAAAGGCATATTTCTTCCTGTCCCAGCATCTCAGTCAAAGGTGTGTGTCTTCTTACCTCAAAGGTCTGGACTAGAAGAGAGTTCACCCACTCCAAACCAACAGATGTGCCCTCCATTTCTGGATTGTAGTCCATTCCAGATATAGTCAAGCTGACAGCCAGCCAAGAGTAGACATCACACAGTCTATCTTCCTTCTGTATTGTATCAGCAGATTCACAACAAGAACAAAAGCCTAGTCTTTCTTTTTTTTTTTTTTTTTTTTGGTTTTTCGAGACAGGGTTTCTCTGTGGCTTTGGAGGCTGTCCTGGAACTCGCTGTGTAGACCAGACTGGTCTCGAACTCACAGAGATCCGCCTGCCTCTGCCTCCCGAGTGCTGGGATTAAAGGCGTGTGCCACCAATGCCCGGCTAGGCCTAGTCTTTCTAAAGAGAAACCTGAGTAAAAGGAGACAGGAAGACTAATAAAGGAAACAAGCTAGTCTGTTCATTTCTAACCACACTCTCTGGGGAGGAGTCCCTTCCTGGTCTACATGAAATCCACAGCTCTGCTGTATCCCAGGCTCATGCTTCTTACATCCTAACTCGGGCTAAAGACGATGCTAGATGCTAACAATTCTAAGATGGGCGCAGTTCCGGCCCTTTGTGATAGGCCGTATCTACAAACACACAGAGTGATGACTAAGTATCGGATGCTGGGACCTGGGATGTGAGTTAGTGCAGAGTCTAACATGTGTCAGGCCCTGGTTGGATCTCAGCACTGGAGGAAACACAAAAAGATGTCCAGAAGTACCAGATGCTATGGGAACTATCAAAAGATATTATATGGCCCAATGTGGAGGTCAAAGCAGGCTTTAGAGATCTCAAAGCCTGGTCTGGTGGCTTATGCCTGGAATCCCAGTGCTTTGATGGTAGAAGCAGAGGATCAGACTTTCAGATAACTAGTGTTATCTGCTTAGTGAGTTCCAGGCCAACCTAAGGCACATGAAAGCCTGTGTGTGTGTGTGTGTGTGTGTGTGTGTGTGTGTGTGTGTGTGTGTATACACACATATACATACATACATACATACATACATACATAGAGAGAGCTAAACAAGAAATGAGCTGGCTACGGATATTCCTTACGTAGCTGAGGAGAGAGTAGTTAGACAGGAAATAGTTTGAATATGAACTGATTTCGAGGTGCTGAAAGGAAATGGGGCTGCCTTGTAGAGAGTCCTCACCCAGAGTTCATAAAACTGATTGTGGGTCTTTATTCTGGGGCTCACGGAAAGCACTGCAGCTTCTGTTTGCTTGCATTGATGTGACTGCTTATCTGTTGGCGGGGGCAGCTGCTTGCATTATGTCTGTGCACCCATGGGCATGCCTGGTATCCAAAGAGGCCGCAAAAATGTGTCAGATCCCCTGGGACTGGGATCATAACTATGTGGGTGCTGGGAATTGGAGTAAATGCTCTTAACCACTAAGATATCTCTCCAGCTCTATGTGTATGGATGTCACGCACACATGTGATGTGTCCCCTTGACCTTCTGCAGTTAATGGAGTCAAGAGGGCCTAAACTTACTCCAGTCCTGGGCTTTCTAGGTGAGGCCTGTAGGAAGTGATTCCGGTTAGAAAGGGCCTCTAGTAGAGTCCCATGGCTGAGTCCTGGTCACCTTAAAGGAGGGACAGGCCAGACACAAAGACATGAATGTTCCCTTTCTTTTGCAATATGATGGCCCCTTACAGTTCTAACAGCGCAGCCATAACCAGTACTGAGGCAACAGCAATGCTGGGCCCTTGAATTTCCAAAATCATTAGCTAGTTGAGTAACTAACCACACACATATACTTAAAACACACAAACACACACCTGTAGCATACACATGTATACTACACACACAAACACACACCTATACCATACACATGTATGAGACACACGCACACACACAGAAAGAGAGAGAAAATATTATGGCAGTGAGTCAGATAGGATTTCTTTTTTGAGATAGCATCACTACACAGTCCAGGTTGGTCTTAGATTCCCTGTGCTGCACACAACAACCTCATACTAAAGTTCTTACTCCTCAGCCTCCCAAGTTTGGGGTTACAGGTGTGCACCATCAGTAGAAATCAGACCACAGAATGAGTGGGGGTAGGGGGCAGTGGCTGTCGCACACCTTTAATTCCAGCACTCGGGAGGTAGAGGCAGGTGGTTCTCAGTGAGTCTGAGGCCAGCCTGGTCTACAAAGCAAGTTCCAGGCCAGCCAGGACTGTTACACAGAGAAAACCTGTCTCGAAAAGCAAGCAAGCGAACAAAAGACAGAATGATATTGAAAGCGTTAACCAAACCTGGAGGCTTCATGCCTCTCGATTCAAACCTGTGTAATCAGAAATGTAGTAGCATAACACAGCAGTGGATAGCTGTAATCTCTGCACTAGAGGGGCTGAGGCAGAAGGCTCACAACTGTGAGACCAGCCTGGGCTACATAATGAGGCTCTGTCTCAGAAGACCTTTGGTAGCCAAGGGGCACTGGTTCTGGTACACACCTAAGATGCCAAAATCATGACCAGTAAGATGGCTCAGTGGGGCCGGGCGGTGGTGGCACACGCCTTTAATCCCAG